GCCGGCCGGCGGGCCTGCTCGCACCGACTCATCGAAGCTGGGTGTGCCCGCGAGCGAGAGTGAGAAGAGACGGGAGGAGGTCAGCATAGGGGGGTGGGAGAAAGGGGGGGGGGGGGGGGGGGCGAGGGACGTGGTGCGATCGGCGGGCCGCACCAGCTCCTCGAGGTCGGCCGAGTCGACGGAGTCCGCCGTCGGGGTGGACGGCTCGCTGGGCTGCGGCGCGTTCGACAGGGAGTCCACAAAGGGCTGAAGCCAGTGTGACAGCTGCAGGGAGTTCCACACTAGCGCCGACAGCGAGGCGGCCGACTGGGCACGAGCAGCAGGGGAGTAAGTATCTGGGCAGAGGCGAGGGGGAGGGGGAGGGGGGGGGGGGCGAAATGTGGCGGGGCCTGGGAGCGCGGGGCAGCACAAAGCGCGGCATGCCGGCCGGCGGGCCTGCTCGCACCGACTCATCGAGTTGCCGAAGGGCGCCATCCAGGTCGGCAGGAGGCTGTTCGGCGGCCGGATCGATGCCCAGGCCGGCCGAGGCGGCCTGCAGCGATTCCATGAAGTTGGCCGACAGCTGTTCACAGAGCAGCATGCATGGCGTCCAGCAGCGGGGAGGCGGGGAACGGGGGGAGGGGAGGCTTGTGTCAGCATGGGGGCCGATGGGCATGGATCTCGTCCAGGGTGTGTGTGGTGTGGGCGGATGGGCGCACGGTGTCCAGGCGATCGCGTTCTCGGTGAAGCCCCGCGTGAAGCTGCTCCAGGCGGTTGAGCGCCGAGCGCAAGGACACGCGCTCGGCCGTGAGTTTCTTGCAGGCGTGGACGGTGGCTGTCATGGGGGCGTGCGTGCGTGAGTACGCGCAGATGCGCGCGCGCGTGTGTGTGTGTGTGTGTGTGTGTGCGTGGACATCGGCACGCGAATGTCGACAGGCAGAAGCCCCGGCGGGGAGGCGATAGGGAAAGGGGGCGGGGGACAGGGGACCGGAGGGAAAGGGAAGAGCAGGCACTTGGGACCAAGACCAGCCGAGGGCAAACGCACACGCGAGTGTCCGCCGATAGCGGATGAGATCCGACTGGAGAGTATCATCCAGGGCGACGGGGTCGGTCGATCGGCCGCCGGGGTCCGGGTCCGAGCGCGATGGCCCGGCAGCCGGAGACATGTCACGCTTGGCGGCCGACGGCCCGGGCCGCGAGGCACTCTCGGCGCCGGCGGAGGGGGCGCCGGCGCCCGCACCGACCGACACATCTACCGGGCCCGAGGAGGAGGGGGAGGCCGAGGACAAGGACGAGGGGGTCGGCGTGCCGGACAGCAGTGACGAGAAGGAGGGCCGGCCGGCACCGAGGGCCGCTCCGCTGACCAGGGCCTTGAAGACGGACGACACGGCGGCCTCGGCCCGGACAGGCGCGCCGGGCGGGGCCTGCGCGTCGGCCGCCGGGTCGGGCATGGCGCACGCTCGGGTGGGGAGATGGGTATGCGCAGTCGGGCGGAGCGGGGCGGGGCGGGGCGGGG